ATACGAGTTACTGCAGCACCGCGAACACTGTTCATACAGCCTTCGGTCCAAACTGTGAATTCTTGACGGGCACCCCCAACTTAAATAGGCAGGGCAAGAACACATAGTAATCTCTAGTTAATCGTTTTGCGCGAAGCGAGGACGAACCCGTAAGCGGGTTGCTACGTTGGAGGTGGGGCCCACCCCTCGGTAGAGTGGGCTTGTGCCATGTGCTGGACCTAGGGTGTTACAGTTGACATCCTGCCCTGTTATTTATTCTATGTAACATCATTAGGGATATCCCTCCAAGAAAATCTAAAACAACCTATAAAGACGGTTCCATGTGTTTATCCATCGCTGATATTCGACTTCCAAGCGTGCTTTAAAAGGTTGAAACCCAATACTGTACAGTCGTAACTAAAGTTCTTCATCTTCAGGTGCAAATAACTTTCTGATGGTTGGCGGTAAAACACTGTCCTGAATCAGCATTCTGTGTTTTAAGGATAGAAAACCGCAGAGTTCCTCTGAGTTGCTAGCCAGTGCCATCAAAATCAACACGCTCTCCAGTAGCAAAGATATCCCAGAAAAGAGCACTGCTGAAGTATAAAAGCGACGTCAATATCAAAAATCCATGGAAAGAACCCATCCGATCAACAAAAAATCCTGCTCCAATAGTTCCTAGAATGGCAGCAAATGTCCCAGCTGTATTTGACATTCCTGTCACAGCACAATTGTAGACTAAAGTTAGTTAATGCAACAAAATGGAAATCTACAGTTAACACAAGGAACATATTTACTATTTAGTACCGTGTAGTACTCCAGCATATTGTGGGGCGATCTCCTGATATGTTTTAAAAATGATATATATCAGATGGGAAAAAGAGGATCCAAATTGCGAAGAATGAGTGTCTGTTCCATCACTGAACTAAAGTACCTGTAGATTTACTAAGAAACCTGAGTGGCCAAAGGATTTCAAACCAACAGCAATTGTAAGCCAGGCTGAAGCAATGATTGGACTCTTTGCTGCATTCAGACAGCAAAGCAATACCTGGCCCCAGAAAGCCAATTGACTGCAGAATGAAAAGTCAATAGTCAGGAAAAAAGTTAATGCAACAGGAAGTGTACACTTGAAAGTTGAAATCACAAAACCAAAAAGAAGCCAATATTGATGAAAATAAACTGCAACAGGAAGTGTACACTTAACATGTTTGGTTTTTGTATCTTATGATTAATAGATCGCAGCATATCAGGAAGCATGTGACTTTTGGTAAGAGTGTGGAGAGGTGCACAAGATCATTTTATGAATAAAAGAAATGAAAACTTTCCTGACTGTTATGCTACTATTTTTTTTTTTGAAGCAACATACCTGCATTATCTTCCGTGTTAAAGTATGTTTGTACCATTTCTAATAAGCATGTCCGATACAACACCAGCCACGAAGCCTAAAACTGCCATCATCACCCAAGGGAGTGCACTGAACCAAGCAGCTTCTCTCAGATTGACATGATATATCTGATCACCACAAAAGCAATATCAAGTTGAATACTGGGAAAAGTAATTTATATATTCAAAGAACATTGAAGCAGAGTGAAGGCTTACTGTTTTGAAATAGACTGGCATCCATGAAAGGATAACAAAATAACCCTGAAAAAAATCATGAGACCAAAAAGATTATTCCCTAAAATGTGTCTTTCTGTGGCACAATCTTACAAAGAATTGATGAAAAATTAGTTGTTAAGTTACCCAGCTATGCATGGCGTTTGCACAAATCAAAGCCCATGTTGGCCATTTGGAAAGCAGTTTACTGAAAGGGGGAACCTTTTTTGTTTTTTCACTTCCAATTTGAGGTTTCACCAATTTCTGGCCTTTGGTTATATACTCCAGTTCATATGCTGATATCTGTGCATGTTCACCTGGTGTGCCAGATATAGCCGGTATCCACACCAACACCCACAGAAATCCGAATAATCCAAATATCACAAAAGGTCCAAAGATTCCAGTTCGTGACATGATAATTGGGGAAATAAGTAACCCAATGGCATTGCCAAACTGAAAGCCAGCCATTGCAATACCCACATGTCGGTGTTTCGAGTAAGCACCGGCTAGTAAATTTGTATATTGCACGTCTAATTCAGATGGTGTGCTAAGAAGACACAAGAATTATACTGGTTCGGGCCGAATGTCTCTACGTCCAGTTTCGGGTTGCTCGTGTTACTAGCACTGAGTTTGTAGTAGGGGGTTACAAACTGACGAGAGAGGGACTGGTCCCAAGTCTCTGGTGTGATGCGGTGTGTTTGTTCGATGAATCAATCTATCCCCCCTAGTGGGACGCCCTGCTTTTTCTTTTATAGGTCAAGGGAAAGCAGGGGTTACCACCTAAGGGAAGAGAAAAAAGAAAAGAGAAATAAGGCTCTCGGAGGTGCGCCGTCCTCCTCTTCGCGTGGGTCCTGCTGACCCTGTAGATCGTGGTGGCAGCGGCGTCGTACCGGGGTCCTGTTGGCCGCTGCAGCTTATGTGCAGGCGTCGCGCGCCATTCTTGTCTTCCGTCCCATCCGAGAGGACGGAATGGTCAGAGGGTCCCCTGACAGAAGCTATGCGGGGAGCTAGCGGTATAGTGCCAGTCAACTAACACCGGTTGACTGACGTTGGACGGTGGTCAGGCAGGGAGTTGGCAACATAGTGACCACGCGTCCGTCACTATGGACGATGTGAGTTTCCCGGAATGACATGTCGTGGGGACGGGTAGTGCTGAGATATGACCGCTTCCTGCACGATGCTAGAAGTTTGACCTTGGGTAGTATATTCTGGCCCGTAGTGGTTGGCGGCGACGTGAGCTTCTGTTAGGAACCATGTCCGAGGGATCGAACGAGGCAGAGCCAGCCCTCAGACGTCGGGCGAGGCGGAGCCGACCCTCGGGGGTCGGGCAAGGCGGAGCCAGCCCTCGGACGTCGGGCGAGGCGGAGCCGGCCTTCAGACGTCGAGCGAGGTGGAGCCAACCTTCGGGGGTCGGACGAGACGGAGTTAGCCCTTGGGAGTCAGCTGAGGTGGAGCCGACCCTAGGGGGTCGGGCGAGGCGAAGCCCGCGGCCTCAGTGTCCACCGAGGCGCCCTCGAGGGTCGGACTAGGCGGAGCCCAAGGCCTCGGTGGTCAGACGAGGCGGAGCCCAGCAAGAGGTGTAGTCGCGCTCTTGACCGCTCGGATGAATCAACGTTGATGGTTATTAGCTCCTCCTCTTCGAGTACCCTACTATTGGTCCCCGACAGTAGCCCCCGAACACCCGGGCAATTCGGATAGAATCACCTGGGGTTTTTTTGACTTGACAGTGGGTGTGCGCGAGCGCACCCGGTGGGTGTAGCCCTCGAGCATGCGGAGGAGTAGAATACTCCTTCGGAGGTTTTTCGAAAGGGAGGACTTTGAGGGCCCTGGCCTTCTTTTGTCGCCCATGGCGTGTTCTGGGAATGGTGATTCCTTCTTGTCGAGGTCAGACCCTTTGCGGGTATGGCCGTGAGTTTTGGTGGTTCGTTAACTGGATAGTTTGATTGGGGTCCCGGCATCCCATTCGCGGGTATCTGTCTATTGTCAGCCTGGCTGAGACCCAATTATGGGCCGCGATGCCCGTGGCGCTCGTGCGCCTGGGTACTGGCTACTTGCGGGGCCCATCCCTCTCCGTCCCTTATCGTAAGGGTGCTTGGTGCGGCTATCAAAAATGTTGATGGGCCAACCGTCGAACTCCTGGGCCCAGATGGGCCGTAGAGGCATTTTTGATCCGTATTCCTCTTACTCGTAATGAGTCGTGGCCCACCCGGGGAGGCGAAACGTCCGGCGAGTCTTCCGAGAGAAAGGATAGGGATTGTGTGCGCAAATCCCGCGACGTGATGTTATGGCAGATCGTGGCAGACGTGGAGATCTAGGTGGACGGTTGGTTTCCTCGCATCCGTCGCCCCTATAAAACTAAAAGGTTCGCCCCCGGGGTTCATACCTTGCCTTCTTGCCTTTGCATCTGCAACCTCCACCACCAATTGCCTAGGCTTCCTGCATCCGCGTTCCAGCCGCCGTCGAGCTCGCGTCCACCCGTCCCCATCTTTCAATGGATCCATGGTGCCGCTCTGACATCACTTTCCAGCGCATGGAGGGCCTCGTCCATCGCGGTCTTCTCTGCACGCGGACTACGGCCGAGGAGTGGCTGCTGCCTGGCGAGGAGGACACGTCGTCGCCACCCGATGGTTATGTGGTGTCGTTCACGCACTTCTATGAGCGCGGATTCGCTACCCCTGCTCACAGATTTCTACGGGGGCTGCTGCACTACTACAAGATTGAGTTGCAGCACCTCAATCCCAACGGAATCCAGCACTTGGCGACGTTCATCGCCCTGTGTGAGGGATTCCTAGGGATCAGTCTCCACTTTGATCTGTGGCGGCACTTCTTCGCCGCCACCCTCCAGAAGAAGCGGGAGAAGAAGCAGGAGCTGAACACGCCGATGGGATGCGCCGGCATCCACCTCCGGAATAACCAGGTCGGCGAGTACCCGTTGATGCGTCTGTCGACCTCCAACAAAGGGTGGCATTCGCATTGGTTTTATCTCAAGAACGACGCAGCCGCCCCCTGTCGGAGTTCACCGGGCGCTTAATCAAAGAGGCCTCGGATTCTTGGAGGAAGTGGGGTGTCCCGGAGAAGGACAAGAAGAAGATCCGGGACCACCTCGTCACCATCCGTATCCTGAAGGAGAGGGACCTGAAGGGGCCAGGCATCATCGGGGCCTACCACATAAGGAGGGTGGCGTCGTTGATGGGGCGCACGCTTCCGTTGTATGCGATGGCGCCCGAGGCGTCATTCGATGGGACGGCGCTTGCCGAGGGAGCGCTCTCCTCCTCCGAAGTCGCGCAGCGCATCAAGGAGGCGATGGAGCCTTCGTGGGACAACGTGGGCGCTCCCCTTGATTTCGTGTATCCGGTACCGGGGCACCCTCTGATGTGGCTAGAACCGGGCTACATTGTCTTCGTAAGTTTCCTCTCCTCATGCCTCCTCTTCAATTGATCTCCCGACCCCTTGACACTAATATTGAGATAGGGGGACCAGCCGAGGAACCTCATCCTCATGGATCACCTGGCTCCGTTGCCGAGGGATCCATCCATGAGGGAGGTGAATCGCGCCGAGGCTGAGAGGCTAAGGAAGACGAAGGAGGACAAGAGGAAGAAAAGGCAGCGGAAACTGCGGCCGTAGGAGCGAGGGGAGGACACCGACAATGACGACGACGATGATGAGGAAGGCGACGACATCGAGCGTGATGACCTGGAGAGCGAGGATGTGCTGATAGGTATCCGCTCGTCTTTGCAGGAGTCGGGACCCTTCCCGTTCCATGGAGGGGAGGGCACGTCCGTGAGGTCGGTGGAGATGGGCCGGACCGTCGGCCTGCCCTAGGAGCCAACAGGGATGGGCGGACTTGCCGCCGTGCCCGAGGCACCAGCGGAGGAGGGTGGCTCCTCCGTCGTGCCACAGGATGCAATGGGGACGAGCCCCTCTGCCCGGGAGCAGGGGACGGGCTCGAAACGACCCCGCGCTGATGAGGTGAGCAAGGGTCTGGGGGTTCACACCCCAAACATATCCGCTGCCCAACGGCGCCGATGTAAGTCACCAGCTCCTATGTTTTTCTCTATTTTCATTATGACTTATGCTTTTCTTTCTTGTAGCGCCTTGAGGCAGCGCAGTCCTTTGGCGCTGGCGCCAGAGAAGAGTGTCACCCTTCAAGTGAGGCGGCAGCCGTTGGTTGACGTCGCACCCATTTCGGGCGGGAGCAGCGCCGGTTTGACTGCATCGTCGGCCGGTCATGCACCACCCACGGTGGCGCTCGAGGGACGCCCTCAGAGGTCGCTGAGTAGCCGGCGATGGAGGTGGTACCGTTGCCGATGACGGGGCGGACGGAACCGCTGTCCGCAATTGTGGCGCTGATCGCGGCGGGCGCGATGCAGCCAGTCCAGGCCATGCCGACATAGGCGGAGGTGTCGGTGGCTGTGATAGACGGGCCACAGCCGGACGCAACCATGGCGGCGTCCGAGGCAATGTCGCAACCCGC